CCTCCCGCTTCCTCTCTGAAATCAATAAAAATATATTTTTTAAAAAGTTGTGTCATCATTAGAGATTCTGCAATAATTGTTTTCCTTTCAAAGGAACCCACAGAATACTCTATCGAGAAACAACCCTATAACTGCCCAACTGGTGTGGCTCAGTGGTTGAGCACCGACCTATGAACCAGGAGGTCACGGTTCGATTTTCGGGTCAGGGCACATGCCCGGGTTGCAGGCTCGATCTCCAGTTGGGGGCATGCAGGAGGCAGCCAATCAATGATTCTCTCTCATCATTGATGTTTCTATCTCTCTTTCCCTCTCCCTTTCTCTCTGAAATCAACTTAAAAATATTTTTTAAAAAAGAGAAACAACTCTATAATAACTACAAAAGATTTCCTACAGCTGTTTCCTCTAGAGCCCGTAACACCAAAGTAAAATACAATTAAAACAATTCTACAAAGAGCCAAGACAATCTTGTCTTTTCTAGCTCTCAACCAATTTGACTTAGTCCAGGGAAAAGCCTAGAACAGCAATTTTCAACTGGTGTACCACAAGAATTTTTAAAACATGCAAAATCTGACTATTTAGTCAGGGGCACTAATCTTTTTCCCCTTAGATTGTCAAATAAAAAAATGACTACAGCCAACATTATAGTCATCAGTGAGAATCAATCAAAATTATACCTATTTTTTTTTTTTTTTGTCAGGTCGGCAAAAAATAAAGGTTGGAAATTGACGACCAAGACTAACATAAAGGATTGCAGTTCCTTAGACTGTCAGCTAGGAGTAGCTATGAATACACATGGAGAATAAAACTTGAAAGGCAAGTATCTGCAATGAGATTATACTTTCCAGTGAAGTTTCAGTTTTCCGTTTGTTCATTTGTTTTAATCTGCTCTAGCTTTACTTTTTACTCTACCGAAGGAATAATTTCCTACTTTCATCAAATGAATGTGTTATTGCCATTCTCTTACCAGGCTCATTGGTCAGGGCTGACCATGTAAGGTATACGGTGTAGAGTGTGATGATGGAGGACTGCAGGAGGCCAGAACGAGGATGGTGTTCCTATAGAATCAAAAAGAAAACAATGCCACAGGGATTGCAAGGGCTGACATTCTAAAACTTGGTGTACTTCTCTGGGATCCACTGAACTGTTATTCACTAAGAACCTTCTGATGTTGAAAAGATGACAAGTAACCTTTCAGTTTGAGCTAGCTTGAAAAAGAATCCAGGAAGAGGAAGCATACATTCTTGGTTCTCAAGGCATTTCATAATCCTGGAAATTCCTGTTTATCACACAAAGGCTTCGATTTATTAGTCTCTTAGTGTAGAGGAATCTAAACTTAGCTTTGCCACTAACTAGGGGGGTAACCCATCATCTCTCTGGAACTTCACTTTCCTCATTTTTAAAAAGAGGGGTGATGTCTAGATGTTCTTTTCACATCCTATATAATAAAAAGCAAATCAACCGAACGGCGGAACGACCGGTCGCTATGACAAGCACTGACCACCAGGGTGCAGACACTCAACGTAGGAGTTGCCCCCTGGTGGTCAGTACGCTCCCACAGGGGGAGCGCTGCTCAGCCAGAAGCCGGGTTCACGGCTGGCGAGTGCAGTGACGGATGCGGGAGCCTCTCCCACCTCCATGGCAGCTCTAGGGACACCTTGGGGGATGTCCGACTGCCAGCTTAGGCCCGCTCCTGCGTGGGGAGTGGGCCTAAGCCAGCAGTTGGACATCCCCCAAGGGGTCCTGGACTAT